TCTTCCTGATCTTCCCCATAACAGTCCCCCCAGAAAATGCTGGCGCTCGCCAGGTCCCAACCATCACGTCCCGTGCGTCGGAAGGCGGGGGCGGATGATTATGACGTCACAAGGCCACGCCCCCGTCGCCGAGATATCACCCGCGCCGCCCGCCATTTTGTCTCCAGTGTCTGGTGTGCCGTCGACGGCGTCGTGTGGGCTGTGTCCGTCCGTGGGCGGGAAGCAGAGTACAGGGTCTATTGTCTGGGTTTGACTCCGTAGTTGGTGCGAAGCCTTCTGGAGCTTTCTCGGGGCAGTCAGCAGAAGCCGCAGCGGCCGCCCCCCGCCCCTCCCCTCTGCCCCCTGGTCCGGGAGGGACTGAGTCCGCGTCACGCCCCTCAGCGCTCGCCGTTCCCTTCTCAATCGTTGCGTCCGCATCGTGTCCCCGGAATCAGACGGTGCCCCATAGATGGCCAGCTTTCCCCCGAGGGTCAACGAGAAAGAGATCGGTGAGGACTGGGGCTGCGGCGCGCGCGGGGGCTGAGGCGAGGCAGGGGCTCCCCAGGGGGGGCTCGGGAGGTGTCGGTGAGTCCGAGGGACGAGCTCGGGCGAGCCAGGCCGGGCGTCTGGGCGAAGCGGAGGGAGCGGCCCCGCGTGTGGCGTCTGCCGAGGGGAATGGGACCTACATGGGTGCGGCGGGAGGCTCGGGGGACCCGGGCGCGCGGAGACTCGGGTAGGACGAGCAAGGGCCCACCCTCCCCGGCCGCCCCCGCACCGCGTTCCTTCACTGCCCCGTGGGCCGCACTGGCGGGGGCCGGGTCTTCCAGGGACTGGGGGGCGGATGGGAAGGCCGAGCGCAGGAGAGGGGGCGTTGGGAACTCACGCGGGCGGGGCCGAGCGGCGGGCGGGATGACAGAAACGCTCCTGTGCGGAGGGGCGGACGGGGCGGGCTTTGTGCGCTCGCCGAGCCGCAGACCGAGGGTGGGCGCAGGACGTGGGCTCGGCCCGCAGCGCCTCGCCGTGCTTAGGCTCGGTCTGTGTTTTAGTTCATTTTTTTTAAAAAAAAGGTTTTTGCTGTAGGGCGCATGTACCCACCCGAGAGAGAGCGAGCGAGAGAGAGAGAGCGCGCTCCCCTCCCCACCCCAACTTCCCACCCAGGGGAGATGGCCGCGCTGCAGTCCCTTCCTCGCGATTTTGTGCATGCATGTCATTGCGCCAGTGTGTGTTTCAAGCCTTCGGGGCAAGGGACTGCTGCAGTCGGCCGTGTGTGAGATAGAGCCGCCCAACGGGAACAGCTTTGGGGGGAGTTGGGGTGCTGTGGGTTGACTGATAACACTGCACAATAAACACTGATCTTACTATGCCAGATAAAAACTGGCAGTGACCACAGAACTTTGCCATTTTCCTGCCTGTGAAGTAAATGCCTTTATAATCAGATCGGGGAGGAATTTCTAGAAAAGGGGAGAAGCCTAAGTAGCCGAAACGCTCTCTATCCTGTCTGTGGGGGAGTTTTCTTTTCTAAACAGTGATCTAAAAATTCTATACTTTTGTTCTCTTAAGGATAAGGTTGAATGGATAAGGAGGGGACTTTAACCCTGATTTTAATAGCTATATTAAAGATACAGAAAACTCAGAACATTTATGTTCAGTTTTTATTATAACTATTTGAAGACTAGTATAAGGAGGCTTCAGAAAATTTGTGAAAAATGTGTACCATGAAAAATAGGCATTTATTTCAAAATGTTTGTCGGAGTTAAACTCGTACTTTGTTTTCCCATGAACTTTTTGAAATCCCCATGTGTGTCCTCAAGTAGGGCATAGAACTGGAAAGTTCTTACAAAAACAGTAAGTAGTGGGTCCCACTGCACCATAACGTTACAGATGAGTGATCCGCCTTTCATTTATCTGTATATTCATCTCGCAAACCTCTTTGAAAACTTTGTCATAGGATGACTAGAACTTCTTAGCAAACCTGCAGAACCACTGAGTAGCCTTTTGATTTTTAATTTAAGAGAGCTTTTTATGTATTAGGTCTTGGTGTTATTTTCTAGATATAGATAGGATGTAAAGTAAAAAATTGAGAGCAAAGTGCCAAATATCTAGAACTTTGGCTTTTTATAAGCTTTTTTAAAAAGAACTTGAGATTTTTGTTTCTTTTACTTGAAGTAGCATTTGGATACAAGGTTACTAAATGTTAATTTTTCTTTGTAGCTTTTTATCTTTGAATAAGGACTTTCTTTTCCCGGTTGAGTATTAATTATGGCCAAACCAAGTTTGGTTTCTCGCATGCATACTGACAATAAAGGCAAAATTCCATGGATAAAAGGTTCTATATGACAGGGAGTTACTGCTTTGAGCTTCTGCCCTTTTTCATCAGGCACTGCTACAGATCCTCCCTTTCTAGTTATGAAATTATGGAGAGGAATGTAAAGGATCTTAATCTGGTTTGCTCAGTTCAGCAGTGACTCAAGATGTGTTACTTGGTTTGCTCAGTTCAGCAGTGACTCAAGATGATGTGTTAGGACCGCACAGAAACTAATAATACAGTGTTGTATCTTAGGGCTGATTTCCATGGCAGGCAGCCTGTCCACTCATTATATGAGATCATTAAGTCTTACATTTTTTTAGGATGCTAACATGAAACAGTTGCAAGTAAAATAGTAAAGGTTTAATTTAATTTTTTTTCTCAAGCCTTGTACCAGGTTTATTGTGTTGTACCAGTATTTAAGTTGAGTGTTTAAGTCATTTAATTAAAGTATAAGGAACACAACCAGATCAATTACTGGTAGAATATGTGGAACTATGTAAAGTGTTTAGCAATTTTTTATAATGGTTCCCTTTCTCCAATTTCTCTGTACTTGAGAAAAAACTAGCTTCTTATTTCATGGTCTGCAATTTAACCATTTTTAGTTTTTTTTTTTTTTTGGTTTGTTTGTTTTTTTACTTTTATCTACATTTATTTTATGCTGACTTTATTCCCGTGCCATAAGTTTTTGTTTCTTCAGTTTCTTCTGAGATATCTTTTTCTTCTGTGCAACTTCCTCTTCCAATTTAGGAACAACTTGGTCCTTTTCAGTGAGGATCATCTTGCTGTGGCAGGGGGAGCTCATGGATGGCTTAATCCATTCCTTAGGCTCTGTATGTACAACGGTGTATCTTTGGTGCCTTGTTCACCTGAATGTGCTCAATGACCAGAGAATCTACATCCAACCCCTTAAGTTCAGCATTACTCTCTGCATTTTTTAAGCATATGCAGCAAAAATTCAGCATTCTTGTTGGGTCACCGACCTTGTGTCTAGCCCCACTGTTTAGCCTGGGCACATCTACCAACTCCACCATTGTAACGACGGAATGGCACACACTGCTTCTGTAAAGTGACATCCTTCAGATACTTGGTGGCCTTTCGGATATGCATACCCTTGATGGCCTGGGCAGTTTCACGAGTGTTCTTAAAGTGAACATGAAGATTTGAACCTCTTGACTTGCATGACTTGCATGACAAGTGAAGAGGGAATAATTTTCAGAGATCACCTCAGGCCGCCAACGAGAAGAGAGCCCAATTTTTAGTTAATTTATCACTACTCTGTATAAGCAGTTTGATGATGGTGGTCAAGGTAGAAGAAGAAAAAGAATAACCTTAAGACACAGACTAAAAGAATGAATCTTCTGTGAGAAATTAAGTCTGGCTTATGATTGCCAAGGGAACACTGAGTTTCTAGCCTAATTTACCTGATGTTTTTGAAGCTGAACAAGAAGACTATTCTTTGAATTGTAAATCATGTAAATATTCTCACTTAAACAGGAGCTTTCTGTCTTTAAGATAATACTTGCATTTTTTTAAGTTGAATTTTAAAACTTGTTATCCTTGTGAATTTTGACATTTTTTTCCTTCTAAAATTCACGGGTTTTGAAAAATATATATGGTTAATAGAAACCTAAGTTAATTAAAAATTTAGGCAGAGGTTGAAAATTTAGAGGCCTACTGAAATGACCATCTAAGACCACAGACTTGGAAAAATCTAGAATCTAGAGCAGAATTACCTTTTTGAAATAATTTGTGTATTTTATAAATCATTTTGCAGGCATCTGATGGTCACTAGCTTGTGAATTTTGTGTTAAAGTCATGTGACTGCCAGTAAAATTAGTGTCTTTTTATGCTGTATTAATGCAGGTGAGGTTGGGGTCTGCTCTGATTAAACCACACCTGTAGTTTTTAGTTCTAGGCACAACTTTTATGAGGGCCACTATTAACTGGAATTTATCCAAAGAAAGTATGAGGTTAAGAGGAGTGATTTACATTGAAACCAGGCAATCATAAGGAATAATTTAAAGGACTTAAATATTCCAGCCTGACCCAAAACATTCATTACTAATGTTATGACTGTTTTCATATGTAAGTGTCATATGAGAGCAGGATTAGTTAGGGTCATTCTCTTTAGGTCAGAATCAGGACTGACTGGGTGAAATGAGTCATTAAAAGGAAAATTTTCTGTTAATCTCAGCTGCACTGAAATAAAGTAAGCCTTATTTGGTATTATTTATGGATGTCAGAAAAATGATTCTCAGATTTTAAAAACTATACTCATTTACTATTCAAAGAATTGAGCAAGGAACATATATAAATCTAAGAAGGAGAACTCATGCACGTACTTTTGTATTTGTTCAGTAAATACACTCAACACCTGTCATACAGGTGCTGTACTTGATGTTGATGAGAGAGCATATTAAGACTAGAAGTGTCACTGATTGGATTTGGGGAATTTGTATATAGAAAAGGGACATCAGGCCAGAACAGCCCTTCTTCAAGAGGCAGACAGCTCCATGGCTCCTGTGATCTAGCCATTTGGGGAGAAAGGAAGATGTCCCACTGATAACTGGGCCTCCAGCATCCAAAACTCGCGTGTTTGGGAAGAAACCGACCATCCACCAGATGACTAGAAATCGCTGCAGGACCACAAGAAATATGGGGAAGCAGGAAAATACCTCTCCCACAAGGGAAAAGGATAGCTCCTCTTTATCCACACACAGTTCAATGGAAATCATGGAAATGTCTGATAAAGAATTCAGAACATTCATAATGGCAAAGCTAACAGAGATGGAAGAGAAGAGAGACAAGGAACTGCTGAAGAGAAAGGAGAAAGGAGTTGAAGAGTTCCAGGAGGTAAGGAAATTCATGCAAGATCTAAAAGAGGAATTTCACACTTTACAAAAGAATCAGATGGAACTGTTAGAGATGAAGGCTATAATACAAGAAGTCAAAATCTCCCTTGAAAGTATTAAAAGCAGACTAGATCATACAGAAAATAGAATTTCTAATGTAGAAGAGAAAATGGTTGGCCTAGAAAAATCCACCGCGAAGACTGAGAAAATGGCCCAAAAATTTGAGAATAATATGCGAGAAGTACTAGATACCATCAAACGTCCAAACATCCGGATAATAGGCATCCCAGAAGGTGAAGAGACTCATAAGGGCATTGATAATCTATTCCATGAAATCTTACAAGAAAAT